CTTTCTTTCTTTCTTTCTTTCTTTCTTTCTTTCTTTCTTTCTTTCTTTCTTTCTTTCTTTCTTTCTTTCTTTCTTTCTTTCTTTCTTTCTTTTTTTGGGGGGTGGACCGGCTTTGGGTGGTCGTAGAATGCTTGCGGGTCAACATAAAAAACAAGATGTTTACAAGAATTTTACAACTAGTATTTTATAACTTAAAAGCTGCTGTAAGGTTATTAGTATTAGCTCAGAATATGTGTTGGGAAGCACACTCAGCTTCTGCCACATTAAATCTTAGATCAATATTTGGAAAATTAACAGTGTTAGTGCCACTCTTGGGTTTGAATGAATGAATGAATTTTTTTTTATTWGGACAGTGTGCAATTAAAACATAAACATAAAAACATTTGATGCATTGCACCAGATTTAGCCTAAGGCTAATTTACATCTGTAGTCCCTCCAGACAATAAAAATGAAACAACATCCAACAGTAATAGAAATAAGAAAAGAAAATAACAGAAAAATAAAGATAATACAAAATAAAAGGCCAGATGGCTGTGGTGGACATTTTGTTCTGACTTCATTGGACAAAGTTTTCTTACAAAAAGATCTTGATTTGTCAGCACTCAGAGTCAATGTTAAGTAGGACTCTCAAGTACTACTACACCAAATTTTAGCATTACTAAAATTGACAGAGTTATGACTATTTTTATGTATTTTAAGGTTGATTGGCTATGATGGCCATCTTGAATTGGGTTGACTCTAAAAGATAATCAGTTAGTACATTCAATGATTACTTTTTAAGAAAGTAAAGCTGGGTATTTTGGCTTCCTCCYGCARCCAAAAACATGACTGTCAGGCTAATTGGTAACTCTAAATTGTCTTTATGTGTGAATGAGAGAGTGAATAGTTGTCTCTAGTRTGTGGCCCTGTGTTGGACTCACAACCTGTCCAGGATGTACCCCGCCCCTCACAYAGTGACTGCTGGATATGGGCACCAGTGACCCTGAGTGGAAGAAGTGGGTATAGATATTGGATGAATACTTTSTAWGAGTTTAATTCAAAACTGTCTAGTGGTTCATAAGATATTTTGCTGACAAACAGRGTTGACTCCAGCTGCTGATGTTACAGTTTTAAACAAAGATTATATACAMTGTGTAGCACMGCTACTACCACATCAAATTTGAAGCCAAAGGTTATAACTGTGTGTTTTAGCTTTWCATCTGAGTTTTATTAAAATCTGTCCACTGGTTCATATTCTACTAACACAACAGACACTTTCCTGTTAACACCTGGTTCATTTGTTCCATTCACAGCGAGTTCATCAGAAATAGTGGAAGGCATGTGGTTGGGTGTGACAGTGGCCAGTCAGAGGGGCCAGCCAGACGGACGTGTCTTGGTGAGACAACATCCTGTTCCAGTCCGTTAATCAGTGCCAGCTCACGTAACACACTGTTGACTGCATAGCAACATTAAATTAATACCAGTCAGGTGATATGGTTACAATGTCTGCAATTCTTTAGTGTCATGAATGACAAATTCGATACCTTTTTTCATTTAATTGTAGCCCTGTGCAAACATGTGATTTTATTTTAATTATTTTTCAAACAAAAGCTGAAGTTCTGATGTTGCAAAACACTTTACAATGAAATCCATTTCTTCAAGAGTGTAATTCATAAAGCAACAACATTTTGCACAGGCTCACTGGTTGCTTTTGAACATTTTAAAGAGGCAATATTATGTGTTTCTCATGCATATTTTTAAATACTATACCACAATAAAGTATCTATGTCACATTTAATTGTTATTAAAATGCTGTTTTTATGTTTAAATAGAAAATAAACTTTTCTTCTCATCACTTCCTCGTCTAAACGCCTTGAAATTGGCCTCCGTCTCTTTAAGAACCTCCTTCCGCTTCTGTCCCGTCCATCTCAGCGCGGGTGGGGGGGCTATGATGCRGTTTACTTGGCATCTGAAAATACATTTCCTCAAAGGTATTTTGAATCTGAAAAGAGCTTCACTGAGTGAGAAGGAGCTCAGCAGACAGTTTCAGTTTCACCAGTTGTTTGCTTTGTTACTGCTGAGAGCCTGCAGGAGTCATGGGCGGGGTGTGTGGGGCGGGGAGTTGTGCTCCTTGATAAGGAAGCTCAGCTTGGAGGCACAGCCCAGAGGCGGAGATGGTCCCAAAAGGCGGTTCTAGTCCCCACCTGTCATTTTTGCTCCCCTGCCTGCTGCGGCAGGACGGTACAGGATTTCTCAAACATGCATGAATGAGTCAAAGCAACACTCTGGGCATGTTTTTGATGAGAGAATAACATAACATGATATAAAACTCAAAAAAGTTGATTTTACATGATACAACCCCTTTAAACTGTGTAATTATAATACTGTATTTTTAATAACTAATTTAGATATTTTTTGTACACTAGCAAAGACTTTAGTTTCAGTAAACATTTGAATCATGTAGGTAGAGAAACTACTTAGTTTAGACCCATACTCTTTTTTTTTTCTGGTGATCAGGCATGTGGGCACCGGTACGTGAAGATCCCCCAAGGAGGCACGGAGGAGCAGAGGCGCATGATCGGAAAGTGCTTCGTAAGGAGTAATGACCTGACCTTTGACATCAATGATGACTGGCAAACTGATAGTTATGAGGTTTGCAATCCCAATAATGACATGGAGGGGGAGGGATTATGCAACATGGGCATCTCAGCTGGCCTGACGGACACAGACGTCTACATCGGTGCTACGGGTAGCTACAGGTGGCGAGGTGGGAGCCAAGATGTTGACTTATTCATCAATTAACTCATTAATCTTTCTTTAATTAAGGCCGAATCTCAAATTACCCCTTCCCTCTACCCCTTAGTGCTAACTTTGTGTTTTATGGTTTCAWACTAATGGGTGGGGATGTCCCAATTCTGTTTCTGTGGTGTAGTGGGAGGGAGGAAAGGGAATAGCTATCTGGCACAATTTCAGCAAAAGGTTATGAGTTCTGCTACCAAAACAATGAAATTAAAAAAAACCATCTCACAAATGTCAATATTATCCTACTATTTTCTGCATTAAAATCCAAGAAATACATTTAAAGTATTTTGCAATCGGCTTTTGCAGTGCTTTTGACACTTGGAGTTTATCAGAGATTTAGAAGCACCCTAGAGTAAATTTTCACAGATAAGGGGTAAGTGTAGAAAGGGAACACAGTGGGATTCGGCCTTAGTCTCACACAGGGACAGAATCATGTTAAAGAAACTGATTTTAAAATGTTGTGTTCCTGCTTTGCTTCACAGGAAATGTTCATGTGACCTGGAGGAATCCAGATCCATTGTACTCCTGGGACTCTAATCACAAAACGTTTGGAGATTTAAAAAACCGAGACAGTTACATAGGTGAATATTAGCTCATTTTTATACTACATTGTAACCCTTGCATTCATGTTTTGTAAAACAAAGTTTGATTTGAGCTGTGATGACGTTAATCTTACATAATGAGAATTGATTGTAAAATATTTCTTTTCCACAGGTTATTCCACTCTCGAAGAGCAGAAGCTGCTGAGCCAAAGCGACTACACCGTGCTGACAGGGGCTCCCAGAGACAAATCTATAGGCTCTGTGTTATTCGGAACAAAAACTGAAAATCAAAATGTTTTGAATCCTGTAAAAATTATCTCTGGTGAGCAAGTGGGCTCGTACTTTGGGAACTGCCTGGCTGTCACTGACCTCAACAATGATGAGTGCGTTCATACACAGATAAAGTGATTTTATGAAATTTGTTTATTTTTAAGTATATTTAAACCTAATACTGAATGTACTTTCTGACTATACCAGCTGGAATGACCTGATTGTGGGCGCCCCTTTTTACTTCAACCGCAGTAAGGATCAGGAAGGAGCCGTGTATATTTTCATGAATGAAAATGGATCCTTCCAAGATAAAGCCACCATGGTGCTGAAGGGTCCATCTTCTTCTGCGTTTGGCTTTGCGGTCGCTGCCATCGGGGATGTCAACCAGGATGGATTCCAAGGTGTGACTCTAAACATAAGATTTGTTTTAAACCAGGGGCGGTTCTAGTGGAGGGGCCACAGGGGGCATTGGCCCCATCTGAGATTTGAAGTGCCCCTGTCCTGTCACTCACCTGTCCTTTGCCCAAGAGTGGCTGCAGTTCCACTACCAAACAGTAGTGGCGCTAATGAGTCAAAKAGGAAAGTCCAGCATGAAGCAAGCTGACACAAGTCTTTTTTTATTTTAATAATCCTGTAGAAAAAGTATTTTAACTGACAACGATGGCTGGATTTTCTCACATCTTGTGTGTTTGAGAGTATTTTATTTATGTACRGTAAAAAGGCACGTAAAATTGATAAGGAGAATTTGCTGTTCGAGTTTTTACTAAAACTGGGGATTTGTGTGCAAGCATGTTGAACAAATACTTGGCCCCTCTATGGCACCGTATGCAGAAAAATCCTAGATCCACCACTGTTTTAAACTTAAAAGTGATGCCGAAAGTCCAACAGTTCACTCAACTCCTGACCAACTGATGCATTCATCAGCTTCTCAACACTATTAGTATATTATTTTTTTATTTTTTTATTTAACGTTATTTTACCAGGCAAGTCCCATTGAGATCTCAGATGTCTTTTTCAAGGGAGGCCTGGGCCTGAAGGCAACCTATTTTACATGTTTTGGTGGGTGGGGGAAACCGGAGTACCGGGAGAAAACCCACGCAAGCTCAAGGAGAACATGCAAACTCCACACAGAAAGACCCCAGGTCCGAACCGGGGATCAAACCCTTTACATATTCAGTATATTCATAGTCTATGTTCAGCACACACATTTGTATAGTCTACCAAACATTGTTCGATTATGAAAACAGCAACGAACCTAACAAAGGGGCAAAAGTGTAGATGTGTAAAGTGTAAAGCTTGAASGTTGTTGTTTTGGAGATTTAAGTTATGAGTAAAAAGAAATATAATGGTCCCTTGTTTGCCTTCTTTGCCTAGCCTGTTTGGACTTCTGCCCTTGTCAAAAATACTCAGCTTTATGACTGATGTCATGTCTGATGAATGCAGAAAACTAATTTCTCCATTCTGGATTATTACAGTGCATTTACACATTTACTTAACATGACTATGATGACAAACTATAATGTTTGCCAGTGACTTAATAAGAGCAGATGGAAGTGAGTCTGGAGAGGTGTATGCAAGCTTTAGGGAGCAGAGGATTAAAACCCAGTAAAAACAATACAGAATCCACCTGTGGGAATGCAAGGTAGTTGTAAAGATGAAGGACAGTGGGATATATTGTTCAAAGGATGTTAGATATGAAGCTGAGGTAGGAGGAACATCACAAAGAAGGTTCATGGTTGTAGTCAATTGCAGACAGTTGGCGTGACAAAGAAGCATGTTAGGAGGACGGTGAGATAGAAGCAGATGACGTGCCGTGGCACCTAGCCTGGCCCTTGCCTTCCTACGCAGCTCCGCTCAATTCTAGTTTCGCTTCTCTGCTCCGTCTGGGACTTCTCCCATATAGAATGATTTTGCTGGCAGATTTTTAGCCGGGCCAATCAGAGAACAGAACGTCGATTTTCTGTGCTCTGTCTGCTTGTAGTTTATTTTACCTGGGCCAATCAGCAAACAGAAGGCGGAGTTTTGAATGACGTCAATGTTCTGCGCAGTGTCTGCTAGTTAGTTTAGCATACGGCAGTGGAGGAAGTGAATGAAGCCAGTCTGTGTTGATAAGGCTTCCAAATTAAAATAAATWTGTCTGACAAAGCAGCAGCTCTCATTTACAGTCATCACGTTCGGCTTGGTACTTTTCTCCTCTCATTAGGGTTGTTTACAGTGTTCACGATTTCCGGTTAGCTTCTTAGCTTAGCCTCCTTCACAACGACATACACACACACTTCAGCAGAGGTCACGCCTCTTGCAAGAAATCGCTTCTCAACAGCAGCGAGTCCAGACCCTCTGTACGAAGCAAAGTGAAGGACAAGGGTCTGGTTTTTACCAGGCTACGTGGCACCCTCTAAAGCAGGGGTGTCAAACTCATTTTCACCGAGGGCCACATGAGAGTTATGGTGGCCCTCGAAGGGCCACTTGTAATGAACTTTAACGTTTCATGTTTAACTTTGACTAAGCACTGTTTTAACACGTCCTTTTTTAAATCCTGATAAGAACTAAGTGTACGACTGACTAAATCTCAAATAAATACAGAAATATTATTAAAAGTAAAACTAATAAAGTTTTACTCACTGATGAGTTTCAAGTGAGCATCTAATATGCGTTATGGCAGATTTAGTTTATGGTTAATGCTGACTTTAAAGCAGCTTATTTTCAAATATTAATACTGTGCCATCAACTAAATTGCTCAGGTACTTAAAGCCAACAGCTCAGGGGCAGGACAATTATTATCTTTCATCTTTTAAAAATTATTTTGTTGCATTTAATCATAAATTTAAAGTTTATCATTGATGTAAGAAACAATTTTCATGTTGTATTTTTTTTTGGGGGGGGGGTACCCCCTGCCTGGCCACATGGCCTTGAGTTTGACACGTGCTCTAAAGTAGGCAGCTGAAAGAAGACAGTAAAGTTTTCTGTTCATTTTCAACAGCTTGCTTGAGGAACCTCAAGATATTTCTCTGTTCTGTTCTGTCTGCAGATTTTGCGGTGGGGGCACCATTCTACAAAACAGGAATGGTCTACATTTGGTCAGGAAGTAAAACAGGAATTTCACAGGTGCCCAGTCAGGTAACAGCAATCAGGAATTCGGTAATAGTTTGATTTTTAGCTGAAGTGCTGTTAGGAAACAGTGAGTAACTGCTGCCATCTACAGGTGATTGAGGGAAGGTCAGTCGGTAGTGGACTGTTCCAGACCTTCGGCTACTCCATCAGTGGAGGGATAGATATGGATGACAGCGGCTACCCTGATATCCTAGTTGGCTCACTGGATGACCATATAGCCCTTCTGAGGTAAGAAAAAAAAGTTATTTTGTTGTGAAAACAAAACCACTTTTTTTGCACATTGTTTTGATTGACAACTTAGGTTTTTTTTTAATTAAGTGTCCTTTACTGCATTATTCAGCTGCTGAGCGTCCCAGTTTAAAACAGTAAATGTGTACATTTTTATCCTCAGAGCCCGGCCCATCATTCACTTAACTAAAACCTTCACTGCTGAGCCCAAGATTGTAGATCCCAATCTGTGTCTTCCAAGTAATCCATGGTAAAAGTGTCTCGCAATTTGTCTAAATCCGAAATCGGTCTCCTCAGTTTTGTTTGAACAGATTATCTGACCTGTCTTTGCACTTTGCAGCATCACAGTCACCCTGTGCATGTCCTTCACTCTAAGCAATGGCAACAAAGACTTCAAGAAAAATATCAGTAAGCTGTTTTATACATGTCATGTGCAGATTATTACTTTTATCTTTCCAATAAAAATGGTTGCTCACAGATCCTAATGTGAATTCTTCATTTTGTCAGAATGAAATTATATTAAACACATAAATTGCTGTGATTTTTTAATTTTTTGTTCTCTTGTTGGGAAGCTGTGGACTACACTGTGGAGGCTGACATGGAGAGAAGAAGCCACCGTGTTCGTTTTGAAGATGGTACTGATACATATTCTGGGTCGATGACCCTACCGTCTTCCAAATCCTTCTGTCATTATCTAAAGCTGAATGTGTTGGTAAGGTTTACATCCGAATCTTTCATCAGTTACCCGCTGTCAAAAGCTTCTGTTACCCAGAAGCCATGCAGTGATTTAGACTTAAATGGCATTCTTGGACAAATTAACAGACACCTGTGAGGGATAAACTGGAACCGGTGGTGTTCTCCGTCAACTTGTCTCTACAAACGCAAACAGCTAAAAGCAGACGCTCCCTGCAGAACCTGGACAATTTCCCAATTCTGAGCCAGGATCAGAAACTCACCCAGAGAGCAGAGGTACGGTGCGCTGTAAACATTTCCTTTAAACAATCTGGAGGGCTTTGATCAGCGTCGTATGATGGACTTTGTTTCACGTCACGCAGATAAACTTTCAGAAGGAGTGTGGCACGGACAACAAATGCTCCAGTAACCTGCAAATGACGGCCCAGTTTGCTGACAACAAGGGAAATCCTTACCCCAGGTGAAATTTCACACATCTACGACACGTTCTCTCATCTTCTCCACCACTTTTTATTTTGCAACAAGCAGGAAAATAGTTTAAGCCACTAAAACAGAGCCTAAGTGCCAGTGCGTACTTTTGCACGACTCTCTTGCAGTGGCAATATAAACAATAAGCTGATAGTTGCATTTATAAAACATTACCTGTGTTTAGGAAGAACAACATTCAAGTGCTCCAGTTCAACAGCAGTGTAAGACGAATAAGCGTGTCGGTGGATGTGACCAACCTTCCTTCTCCAGGGAGGGTGGCGGAGGACGCCCACCAAACGATGCTCAACATCTCCTTCTCTGATGCCTTGAAATACGCTTCGGTTAAGAAAGACGTATGTCCACTAGAGGGCAGCAGATGACTGCAAACTCTTCATGAATTAATATTATTAATGGGGTTTTTTAAAGCTATAACTCAGAAATGCACAATATTTTATCCTCTTAGTTATAGAGTTGTAAAGATCGTGACTTAAATGGTAGAAAAAGAGTTTGTTAGCTGATTTTTGAAGACATTTTAAGGCACTAAACCAAACAAAGGCAAACTGATTGGTTGKTTTTTTTTTTTCTTTTCGTGTGATTTTGGTGTGCAGGGCATAGAATGCAGATTTGATTATACAGTCATTTGTGAGTTGGGGAATCCACTGAAAGCCAACGAAAAGGTAAACCTGCAGCCGATTTTGACTTTATTACCTCATCTGAATGGTTTGCAGTGTAACCGCCTTTGCTCTCTGTTAGGTGTCTTTGCTGATCGTGTTTGAGACTTCCGGCATTGACCTGTACACAAAGGAGATAGAGGCTCAACTGATGTTGTCAACGTAAGTGCTTATTGCTGTTTATTGTATTTTGTTTTTTAGCAGCTGCCTAATTTTGGCTCAGAGCTTTAATTGTTGTCATATAAATAAATATGCTGGCAGTTTGATAATGGCATTGGTTTCTCCAGTGTCAGTGAGCAGAGTGACCTGAGGCCTGTGTCGCTGACCATGCTGATTGAAAGCACCATTTTTCCCAGCTTTACCATGTGAGTCCCCACAGCTTGTCATTGTACTGTACATACCGCCCATAATAAAGCAGAAAATCTTCATAAAAGGAAAAAGCCTTGCATTTCTAGAAGGAAGGCKTATTGCCTGGGCTTAGGTTTTTAAGCAAAGATCTTGTGTAATGTGAGATGCTTGGAGTATGTGTTGTAGATGATGCTCAGCTACAGTAACACCAAATTTGAGCTAAATACTGGATAATTGGCTGAATTATAGTTAATTTTGTGCTTGCTAAAGCTTCTTACTTATGATAATCATTTTGAATTGAATTGACTCCAAAAGTYAATCAGTACTAGATACACGCACGTGCTGAAAGTAAGACATGTACAATCCTTATTGCTTTTTTTGCTTTTGGTGGTGAACGATAACTGAAGTGTTGCRTCATACGTATTATCTTCCTCCTTGTTTTAGCTTATTTTAATTCTTTTCATTCACAGCTCATGAATCATAAGAAAAATCATGTCTAACTCATGCCTTATTTCAGTAAAAATCCAATACAGCAAACCAAATTTGGCGGGACAGTGATGGGCGAGTTCGCTATGCAGAACACCGGTGACGTGGGAAGTCTGGTGGAGTTCACTTTCAACGTGAGTCACTTCCAGAACTGTATATTTAATCTAAATGTTTGTGTGCCGCTCACCCACATTTTCCTCATCCACACCCTGTCTTTGAACCCAAAAAAGTTTAATATCATGTGGGATTTTCAGCTGAGCCCTGTCCTGTGGTGTAAGCACATCCAGGGGTGGATCAKGCAGCTTAAGAGTCGCTTTTTAAAAGCATATTATAACTGAAATAAACACACTGGATTTTCTTAGTTTATCCTTTTTTTAAAATCCTGACTACTTTTGTCACCAGGTGGACACAAGCCAGCCACTGGGAGACATGGGGACTCTTGCTGTGGAGTTTCAGTGGCCCTATGAGGTTGCCAATGGCAAGTGGCTGCTGTACCTGACAAAGATCGTTGTCACAGGAGAATCAGAAATGGAATGTAATCCTGCTGGAAAAGTCGTCAATGAACGCAACCTAACTGTAAGGTTCTTTTTTCTTTTGGTCAAATTACTTCATTTTACTCTTTACGTGATTCACGATTACCGGTAGTTGTAACATTTTAACTGCAAAATATAGTCTGTAAAAATACTGTAGGATGTTTAGTTTAGTAAATTTTTAAAAATATAAATAACACGGATGGACCCATTTTATTTACACACAAAGCATTCTGGGTAAATGATGATGTCGACGAGGTCGTTCGCAAGGCTGCGAGCGAGCTATATCCACCCTGAGGGTTAATCTTGGACAATATCTGATGATCGACTCTTTTAAATGAAACCAGAGAGCGTTGACAGAGAGGAGAAGGTAGAAATGACAGCCTGTAATTGAAAATATAGATGGAGGACAACAGAGCTGCTTCATGGAATATTGTCAGATATTGCAACCTGGATTGCAGCCATTTAGATGGGTTKTTAGCTGTTTTATGACCACTTTTTCTGAATACTTTTGGCAGAGARTATGATTGATGATATAGTGCCTTTGTGTTCAAAAATAGTCTTAAACCAAAATCTGACTCTTAATAAAATCTGACTACTTTAAGAGCACAGGTTATAGGTTTTAATTTAACTGTATTTATATCAAACACAGCATGATGAACCCAACTGACACGGCCTGGAGCTTTCCAGGCTCCGTAATTCCTCCTGACGTCAGTGTGAACTGCAGTAGTCTGAGCAGCATGATTAATCATCAGTGGTTAAGTGGTGTTAAAATGGTCTCAATGCCAAACCACTGTTCAGAAATACACTTAGAACAAATAAAAAATAAAACGACTGTCACCACCTACCAACCTCAGAAAGCTTGAAATAGCAACACATTGTGTGCAGCCTACATATAGGCAGTAGAAATGTCACTGCTATTCTGAGAAGAGTTGGGTAATGTCTTTATCAAAACCAGTAATTACCAATAGTGCTCTGATGTCATGTCTCTGTCTTCCTCCTCCTTTCATTTTCCCGTCTATGCCTCACATCCTTCCAGTTGTCAGAAAACAAATCTAAACGTACCAAACGGCAGACTAGAGATGACGATGCAGAAGAAACAATCCAGCATCGTACTGTTGAGCCACAGGCAGCAATCACACTACTTGCTCCACGCAAAAAGGCCTTCCTATTGGTAAGTAATATGCCCGGAGTGAACGCTTCACATTTACTCTTTTCTATTCAACAGCTACGCACAAAAACATCTAAATCTCATAAAAACAATAARCAGGATGTTTGTGATAGATTGTTACGTTTAAGGAAAGACTAGAATACGAAGTAAAAACTTATTTAAAGCAACACAGAACCATTGATGTCTTTTCCAAAGCTAATAAAAGCAGCTTTAATGCACCTCTTGTGTGCAGATTTATGCAGAACAAAACCCACAACAAAAGAAACGTAATATTTTGCTCAGAAGACTTGGACTGCCATGAACACCATTTTTGTGACCATGAAATACAAATGTACAGTTTTGTATTTAAATGTATGAACAGTTTGAAATGAGAACTTGGACATCATTTTTTGCTATTTAAAGGAACAGTCAAGGCCTTTCAGATGGGCTGCTTTAAACAGACAGAAGCTAAAACAGCATTCATTTAGAAAATGACAAGAAGTGGGTACATTTCCATGAGGATTATATAGGTGGCTGTGGTAGCTTGGTGGTCAGTGCTGCGGTCTTGTACGGTAATCCCGAGGCTGCATATTCCAGTCCAGATAATCTCAGGAAGGAAATCTGTCTTTCTTGCGAGTTTGCATACGTGTGGCGACCCCTAAAAAAAGAGACAAGCCGAAAGAACAACAACATGGGATAGTGTTTGACCAGTTTGTCATTACATCACATCACAATCAACAGACTTGTTTTTTTAAATGACACAAACAGTTTTAAAGGCCTAGCAAGGCTATTTTGTACTGGATTAACTTCAATAATCCAATAATTTCTTAGTGTTTCATTAAAATCAATCCAGGCGTTGATGATTCATTTTGCAGAGAAACAAGGTTAACAGATTTTAAATGTGGAATTTTAGATTTCAMTTTTAGCTCAGTATCTGTAAAACTGACTGATTTATTACCACTTTTTGCAATATTAGAATTGAAATAAAAAAAGGATGTGCTGTCACACTTCCAAAACAGTGAATGCTTAAAGTGGTTTTATTATCCTTTCATGTTTGGAAGCTCAACGGTGTGGAATATAAAATTTCCCTGTCACATACTCTCTAGTTTCAAACTTCCCTTAGACATTGATATATTTAACCTTATTAGGAAATCTTAGTCATCCACTTGTCAGCTTGATCCCATCCCCACTAATCTCTCAAATTAGTTGTAGTCATTCTAATACTAAAAAATAAAATAAAATAAAAAAATAAAAMATGGGTGCAGACCCCAATAATCTCAGCAACCTTTGTCCAGTCCCTAATCTCCATTTCCAAAATTCTTAAAAATGCATTTGCAGCTCAGGTTCATGATCACCTCATTGTCAATCATCTTTATGAACAGTTCCCATCTAGTTWTCATCTGTCTCATAGCACTGAAACATCTCTTGTAAAAATTACCAATGACCTCATGGTAGCTGATTCTGGACTTCTTTTAATTCTTATCCCCCTCGATCTGAGTGCGGCATTTGATACAGTTTCCTACACCATCCTCATTGACAGACTAGCATCCATGGGAATTTCTGACACATCACTGAATTGGTTTAAATCTTATCTATCTGGTCGTAGTTGGTCGTAGTTCATTCATCTCAAAACATTATTTTCCAAACCTTCCTCCCTTTTTTCAGGTGTACACCAAGGCTCTGTCCTTGGACCCTTTCTATTTATCATCTACATCCTCCCTCTTGGCTACATATTCCATAAACATAACATACAATTTCATTGCCATGCAGATGACACCCAACTCTACCTTTCCGCTAAAACCAACTCATCTCTTCCTTCTATCTGCCTCTCTAACTACCTTCAGGAAATCAGGTCTTGGTTCTCCAATAACTTTCTTAAACTTAGCAGTGACAAAACCRAATTCTTACCTGTTGGCACCAATCCACCCTCTCCAAGACTAAAAAGGTTTCCATTTACTTTTACAACTTGCTAGTTTCTCCCTTTTCTGGGTGTCATCCTTGACAGTACCTTATCCTTCCACTCTCATCTCAAGAAAGTCACTGTCAGCTTACTTCCACCTATGTAACATCTCTCGCCTGCGTCCATCCCTTACACCCAACAATACATCCCTTCTGGTTCACACTGTAGTCACATATCACCTTGATTACTGTAATTCACTTCTATTTTTGGTTTACCATACAAACTCTTCCATAAACTCAAAGTTGTTTAAAACTCTACCACTTGTATTTGTTATATAACACCAGTCCTACAGCAACTAAACTGGCTACCCATTAAATATTGCATCATTTACAAGATCCTGCTTCTTTCATTTAAGGCAATTAACAACCTTGCTCCTCCACATATTTCCTCACTTCTCCATGCCTACCCATACCCCCGTAATCTTATCTCCACTTCCTCCCAATTTATTGTTCCTTCTGCTCTCCTGACCACTATGGGGTCAAGAGCCTTTAGCCACTCAGCCCCCCCCCCCCCCCCCCCCCCCCCCACCTTTGGAACTCTCTTTTCCATTACCACCTTCAAATCCCAGCTCAAAACTTATCTGTTCAGGAAAAGCATAGACACTCCAACCATAAATCTTTGTAACTACCATTAATCTCACATTATCTCAAAAACCATTTTTTATTATTCATTGTTGGAGCTTATTTCTTTGCACTATATTATTTTTAATTTATTTGATCGTTTTTGTTGAGTTTACTGTTCTATTATGATTTTATTATTGACCTCTTGTAAGGTGACCTTAGGAGTTTTGAAAGGTACCTATAAATAAAATGCATTATTATTAAATCCTCAGATATTCATCAGTCGAAAGCTAAATCATGTTATCATCCATGTTTTTCAATTGAGTTAAGATGTATTATTATTATTTTGTTTAATCTGTCTTGAAGGATTGCTCCAAATCAACAGCAAACTGTGTGACATTTACATGTCCCCTGCTCAACATGTCCACTTCAGCCAAGATCTATGTCCAGTCCCGGCTGTGGAACAGTACAATGCTGGAGGTCAGCTCACCAGCTACACTCACACAATACACACAACTCACAGTGGCATACACAACTTCTCTACACTCTCTAACAAGAACAAAGTACTCTGATGGAGTGGTGGACATAAAATTTGATTAATGGACTGAACTTATGTAGTACCAAAGCACTTTACCCTCCAGACATTCACACACATGGTGGTAAGCTACATTGTAGCCATAGCTGCCTTAGGGCAGACTGACAGAGGCAAGGCTGCCATGCACCAGCATCACCAGGCCCTTTGACCACCACCAACAGGCAAGGCAGGCGAAGTGTCTTGCCCAAGGACACAATGGCTGAGATGGACAAAGTGAGGGTTTGAACCAACAACCCACCGGTTAAAGGATTAACATCCTAGGGATGTCCCAATCAGATACTCAGTATCAGTGTCGGTGGCAGATATTGCCATTTTTTGAAAAGTGGGTAAGACGCGCACAAGTATGCAACCATGTCCACAGTGTGGGAACACTTTTCAATGGAAAACGATGCTGAAACTGCATCTTGCAAAATCTGCAAACTGGATGTTTCTCGCGGTGGGAACAGCAGGGCTAGCTTTAATACTACCAACCTCGTCACTTGAAAGAAATAAAGCTATCGGATCGGTATCGGAAAGAATAATCATTAAAAAAATCGGATCGTATCAGGAGCCAAAAAATCTGGATCGGGACATCCCTATCCCTACCTCCTGTCACTACTGTCGCCCCATACAACTAGGCTGCATATTTAGAAAGGCTGTGTGACTGTATTCCAATGATTCCAAAATCAGATCAAATGGGTGATGGAGATGACAGTCAGTAGGGTGTGACATGTTGACTTGGGTACAAGTGTAACTGAATGCCAGTATCAGGAAACCTGGGTCTGGGTAAAGGCTGATTTATACTTCCATTCTCATGTCTTGCATGACCAAAATTGCAWAACTTCCATCTTTTATCTCACGTTGACACCCCATTGTGTACATTGCCCCGAGTCAGAACTCTGTCTTACTTCTGTCGACTTATGCACCTCACAGTGTTTGTTTGGTCACAACTTTGTGGGCGTGTTTGCGTGTTATTTTGCAGAAAATGGTCTGCTCCCAGTAGTCAGTTGTTAAATTGGTAAGGTGGAACGTGACTGACATTCATGTCTTTATTTTCCATTTCTGCAGTTTCCTCTGACTTCTCATCCAACAACATGAGCTTTTCTTCAAACATCTGATAGATCATCGAGTAAAACTATCAATCCTGCTGTCAATGTTGTTTACATGCTTAGCTTTGCGTGTAATGTATGCTACACTGGGAGTTCAGTGGAAGGAATTATAATGATTTATCCCAAACATCTTCTACGTTAATATAGTAAGAAAAAGTTGTCCGAAATGAAATAATCACTGATCTGATATCTCACATCTTGTGGAAGTATAAACCAGGCTTTAGAGTTTATTGGAGTGGAGTTGGAGTGATACTGACACAGGATAGCATTGTCTCTGTCTAAGTCCCCTGAATCTGTCTTACCCCTCTGCTCCCCTAGCCATCAGTAAGTAGTATGGTGCATCTCTCAGGCAGCTGCCTGGTAACGCAAGTCGCTCCACTGGTGCCCTCTTAAGCCCTCTGGTACCTGWTCTAGATGTGTCAGCTCCTTGCAAATCAAGGTATTTACAGACACATCACTAGTCTACATGTGGACCAAACTTCACTTTGATCAGACCAATCTTAATCTGCGTTTGGTTTTTATCTATTATGATTGGTAGRTGCTGAACAACACACTACAGACATACATTTTGTTGCTGTTACTTAGCATAAAATGTAAATCTGAGCTTTCTAATGGTGTTTCAATGTTTTCTGTTCACACTTGCAGGACTATTCCAATGCTCTAAGAGTTACAGTCACAGGTCAAGCCACACTGAAGCTCATCACAGATAAACCAACCATCAAGATGGACAATCAGACCCTTGGTGTATGTGACTGTAATGGCAAGACTGATTTCATCTGTAATAACAGTGATTTAATGGAATTTTCTCCATGTTTCTGGTATAGTTCACAGTAGAAATAGAACCAGAAGAGGAAGTGGAGATACCATATGAGCTTCCCCTGTGGATCATCATATCTGCAGCTGTAGCAGGAATCATGCTACTAGGAATCATAATTTTGATCATGTGGAAGGTGAGACCGCACCGCTCTGATTACATGCTGAGAAATATTTCGGCTGACATGTTTCTACATGGTCTCGTAGCAACTGTCCACTCCGGATGACGTTCATTTGACTGATTTTAATATCTCCATTTTGAGTCTAACCTTACATCCCACCCCCCRATGTACCCTCTTATTCTTCGTCCTCCTCCACCCCCCTAGTGTGGCTTCTTCCAGAGGGCTAGCAGGAGGGAAATGTATGAAGCCAAGGCCCAGAAAGCTGAGATGAAGATCCAGCCCTCTGAGACAGAGAGGCTAACAGAGGACTACTAAGGCTCCCGTGTGTTTCCTGTCAGCACACATCAMTGGGGATTTGGGGTAAATTAAAATCCTAACCAGCTTGGGGCGGGACTCAGCTTAACATTTTGTTTTCTGTCTCCTCAGCTGCTTCTGATTAATCTGACTAACATTTCTTCTGAATTTCTTTCAGGCAAATACTGTACATTGTGCCTCTTATACTTCCTGTCCTACAACTCCTGTATGAATAAAAGTAAAAACTGAATGCAATGATTTGCAACTCTTAAAAAATACTTTTTTTATTCCCAATAGAACAAAGTAAGCATGTTAAATGTGCCAACTCAGAAATAGTACTAGATTCAGGAAAAATAAGTTACTTTTGAATTTGACAAAAATGCGACATTTTTCACAAAAACTCCAGCAACTGGTGTCCTGAATTCCAGATGTTTACAGAATGTTGCTAAAGAATGTAGACGAAAACACGGTCCTGTTCCAATGTTTTTAAGAGGTGTTGCTGCCATAAAATTGAAAATGACATTTTTTCCTAATAATGGTTCAGTTTCTGTTTAAACATTTATATGGTTTCTACAGTGTGAGTCAAAAGCCTCAGGACACACTTTTATTTCAGAAAGGAAATGTAAAACGACATATCTAATTAGACCAGGAAGTGATGGCTGAGGGGGCCTATCTTTTAGGCTACGTCAAGAACATGGTTGCCATATTAGATCAAGGGCAAGTTTTTCCAAAGATAGTCCCTGTTACCCATTTCTTGTGGTATTCAGATATTTCATTTTCCCTTTTCTTTCTGAAATAAAAGGAGTGTTTTGACTCACCCTGTATGTTTCTTTGGGATAGGGTTATGAGGTGTTTAAATCACTGCATTCTGTTCTTGTTTATAATTTGTACAATATCCCAATTTTCTTTTTAAATCAAAGTTGTATTTCTCTCTTTTTAATCTTTTTTATTCCCACTCTGCTCATTGTGTTGTCATGGATCTTACTATAGTCTGACTTGATTTTTCACAGCTTTTTAACCCTAAATCTCCTCTGTTATGAACACCATTCCTCCTCGTGCTCCTGCTTTCCATATAGTCAACTTATACTTTGTTTCCCCGCCAGCTTGGATTCTTCAAGCGATCCATCTACTACCGGATAATGCCAAAGTACCGCGGGGTGAAAATTCGCAGGGATGAGCGTTATCAGTTCAATCTGGGATTTCAGCCCGAGGAGCCACAGAAAAAGTACTGGATTACCAGCTGGACAGAGATGCAGCGTTGCTACTACTGATGCCTTTGCTTTGAACCCTGAACCACTCACTGCCACAGGGGCCAAACAAAGAACACTGGACCCTCACTGAGCCACAAGGACACTGCAGGGCACATGGACCAACTGCAGAGTCGGCTTTTATTTTGTTAGTGCATTTCCTCATCTTTTTCTGTGCAATATACTGAACAATTGAGAGATTGTAATTTTTATTTTATTTTTTTTTTTTTTTTACTATTTTGTTGGTTGCATTGTTGTACATTGGAACCTTAGGTTGCATTTGAATTGTTTTGTTTTAGGTGTTAATGTATTTTTACGTATAAATTCAATTTTTAAAAAAAATTTCCAATCAAAATCCGTTCTCTTGGATTTAGTCCACAATGTCTGTTCTGATAGGTGAATTTTTACTTTCCTTTCTGCTCAGTCCATCAGCCCTACTTTATTGCTTTTAAACTATTAACAAAAAAGGTAAAATGTCTGCTTTGTCCTGTTCAAATCTGAATCTGGCAGGATTTGGTTTATGGGCACTGCAGTGGGGGGTGCTCTTGCTCTTTTGGCTTCAACTCCACGACTACATTCCTGTCTTAAGTTTGTTTACGGAGTACCATTTCACAACAAATGTCATCTCAGGGCATTGTGCAGAAACAGTCACATACATTATAAAATGCCAGTTAGTAAAATTTGTCTAAGGAATTGCATCAAATTTTCAGTTTGTTGCAACGATCTCCATCCCAAACAGCACACTGGCAAGTCGACAGTGGAAAGGAACACTTCCTTTTAACAAGAAGAAACCTCCAGGTTCAGGATGGGCAGCAATCTTCCTTGACCAGCTAGGGTTAGAGAGGACCAGTGGTGGGCAGCACTAATCTAAAAATTAGTTCCTCTAGCCCTAAAACACTGACTCAAATATTTAGGTGCCATAATTCCAAAGCACTAACATGCTGAAAGTTTTAGCAAAAGCTAATTCTAAAGCACTAAAATAACCCAGTCAACCCATGAACATTCTTCAACAGACAACATGAGTCACATGCTGCTCTCTTAAGCCTTATCACTGACATTCCACAGCCGTATTTGGGTTCATATATTGTCAATATATTGTCACCTGGTGGATAAGTGACACATGAACAAAATCTGCATCAGCTTTCACCCTCAGCTGTTAACATTAACGTTGATCAATAACATTTATAGACCTCAGTTAGTGCTTCTAAATTTAGCAAGTGCTAATCCACTAATAAATTTTAAAATTAGCAAAAGCCCTAAATCACTAATCAGGAAATTAGTTCCCCTATTAGTGCTTCAGGGGAACTGTGCCCACTGGAGAGGACCAACTCAGTTTTTAAACATATTGCGTTTCTGTGATTTTCAAAGCATTACTGGATTTTTTTTTTCCCTTTAATGTTTCTGGTTTCAAAAATCTGTTGCTTATCTTTGTATCAAACATTGAGTCATTTCCACAGCAGGGGTCATCTAACGACTGCCTCTTGTTTGTGTTTTGAATTAGTCATGAAAGTATGCTTCATTTTATTTATTACACCATCTTGAGCTAATGGATTTAATGAAACCCCATTTTGTGAGAAAATATTATGTGGAGTCAAAAAAACTGGAGTAAATATATCTTTATATGAAATGATCCTGAATAAATGGGTATGAAATGTATGAAAGTTAATWTGACTATGTGAATAAAAGCTTGCATTTGTAATTTATGCTTTTAACAAGACAGGTAGTCAAAAAAGCAACTCTGAGGTTGACCTGCAGCACTGAAGACAGACTGAACAGAGGATAACAGTGATTTATTTGAACCAAGTATTGTGTTACAGCTGCAGTCCCTGTTACCCGATCACCTCGAAGGGACTGGCTTCTGAGGCCTCACTCACTTTTTATAGGGGGGGCAGAAACAACGACACATTGTGATGGGTTTAACTGTATCCTGTGCAACTTTGGTGTAATTAAAACAGAAAGGCAGAATTCAACGTCTTTATTACACAGAATTCAACAAAAATCAGTTTAAAAAAAGCTTATGCAATGCACAACTTTACAWTTATTTCACACATACACATTTATTCCCTTAACATTTAAATATTATAAATAAATTTACAAAACTGGCATGTTTCTTTGCATAGGCAAACAATAATTTTAGTCTTAACAGTATTTAAAACTGCAAAAAAGAGGCAGACTCATAAAAGTCAATCCACATCAAGAAAATATAACTTTTGTTCTTTTTTTCTGTTGAAATCTGAATCTATAGCTCAGTTACATATTTATTTTATCAAAAACCTGTGGGAATTTTGTTTAAAATGACACTTTTACAGCAATGTTTATCTTTGTTGGTCAAGTTTAGGAGTTTTATTAAAGTTTGTAATGTTTAAATCTAATATTTTGCTTATATGATCAAATGGGTACAAGACTTCCATCAGGTCAGTGTTTTTTTATCTGTTGTTTTCTTGAGTTTTAGTACTGAAATCATGGGTGTAAACAGTGCACTAAATACCAAGTGAATAGTTATATTATTTAGTTGTTTTTAAAGAATATTCTTCTGAGGGTTTATGTTGAGCTTAAATACCAAACGTTTTGTCTTGACAAAATTGACCTTGCTCCAGGAGTAAAATGTCAAACTGAACTTTTTTTTTTCATCTATTTTTTTGGCCAAGTGGTCAAAACATTTAACATCATAAAAATCAATGATAGCTTGGTCAACTAACCAAGCTTATTGAACACATTTTTTACATAATCAATATGTGGATAATGGAGTTACACAACATTTTCAGCTATAACACAGCATTGCCATCAAATTTTCCCCATTTAAAAACAAGTAGTTTACCAAGATATTTCAGTATAAAAGGCATTTTATAGAGGTTTCATTAAAACTGTAATACCTCATTGTCTTTTTTAATTGCACTGATTTACATAATATTTAACATATTATAGAATTTCTTCACCATAAAGACTCACATTTCATAAGTCAAAACAGTCAAAATAAAAAAGTRAAAGTGGAAAAGAAAAACTAAGAAAACTGATCAAACTGATTTAGAAAAGTCAAAACAGCTACTATATCAAGATTTTATGAAGTACATGAAATGTTTTTCTTTTTTGTTCACATTGAGGTTGGTTTTGTGCCAACTGCAGTAAGGCAGGACAGACTTTTTCCTTTTATCCAGCACTTACATCTAGTCTTTTTGCCTGAGTTCCAATGTAGATGAGGACCTTTCAGGCTTTTTTGACTTCCTGTACTTGTAGGCAAGTAGGATGGTGGCTACCAAGAGGACCAGACCAATGACCAACAGGATCCACTGGCCAGCTATGGCAGATGAACTTTCCACACTCATTCCCAGGAAGTCCACTTTCTTAGTTTCATCTGTAGGATGTGGAAGAGACACAGTAAGAGAGTGTCGTAAAAAGCGCTATATAAGACTGATGCATTATTAATCATTATCATCATCATCATCATTATTATCATTATTGTTATTATTATTATTATTATTATTATTATTATTATTGCAAATGCTTCAGTTATGATACTTGTCTTCAGAAAGTTATCATAGTGTGTTGCAAATACACATGACTGTGTGCATTTTATGTGTAACATCTATTTGCTAACAATAATTAGCTTGTATCATAAAAAGGAACAAACAAAAGAAGAGGAAAAGTTTTATCTCCACTTTATCTACAAAGTATAAATAGAACAAAAATGTGGTACAGACTAGTGTGATCTCTATAAATCTCATTGTTTTTGTAAACATTTCTCATATTGGGGAAAACAAGGTGTAGCCTTTTACTTATTTTCACCATAGCTTTAAAACTCTTTTCTTTCTACCAACAGATGGTGCTTTTTGACACCATCTGTTAGACGTCTGCACCTCATTATGTTTAGCTTTGGCTCTCCATGCAGAAAATTCAGCTACAAAACTCTTATTAATTCCTGTATCTATGCTCTTTTTTAGCCGCTCTAATACTCATGCAGTCTTAATCCCCATATCTCTTTCTAGCTCTAGTGCAAATATTTCAGTCTAATCTTCATACAGCCTTTCAGCAGGAACTCATCAGTAAATCAAGAGTGGCTGGTTGATTTCACAATAAGCTAAAGCAGAAGACGAAAACCAGATGAATCTGGGAAGAAGTTCCACAGCATTTAGCTTTGAACAACCTTGAGCTTCCTCCAAATGCATGCTCACGTCTGTGATTATAACAAAGTGTGTGAGTGCAYGTCGGGCATACGCACATGTTTGGTTGGACGTGTAAGGTTTCCAGYCGTATTCGGGCCACCCACGAACATCATTGTTCTTATTGTTTTCCGTCTCCAGCCAGTCAATGAGAGGTTTGAAATAGTCCATGAGGGGCTGGGCGTTCATTTTGGACTGACCGGTGATCAGTGCCATGGCTTCAGGCCAAGGCTTGCTGTTACCAAGCTCCATCAAATTGCTGCAAATAGCAACACAAATCAAGGTCAGGGGAGACAAGTTTATTAAAATCACTAATGGATTTTCAGCATAGTTTTTTTTTTGTGCATACTAACCCCAGCAGCTTCCCGGCTGCTTGAGATTGGTAGATATCACATGTGTGCAGAGGTCCAACATGATTAGCAGCATCACAAAGAGCCTTGTGGAACTGAAACTGGATAACAAAACTAACAAAATACCTGAAAACAATAAAAAGACATACTTTATGGTCTGTGATTTCAGTGGGAAATTAATGTAATAACACATTGTAAGAGTTACAACTAGAAAGTTTCAAAAGAAGTCTTGAACTACAGCAATGCATCTGCTGTCCAAAATTCCCACATTTCCCCCCTCATTTTGTCTCTGTTTTACATTTTGAACATTATTGTAACAAGGGTTTGTCTAGGCTTATGCATAGTCCCCCTTAATAATTTTAAGCCACGTGTCATCAGGAAAGAACACAACATGTGTGCTCTCATCACGTTTATCTTATCAGTGCTTCACTTCTAACGTTGTCTAATTTGTTTTGCAAAGTCAGGCAGTTTTACCTGACGTAGGGCACGTTTGCGGGGATGTGGAACTTTGCGCCTGGGTCAAAGTCATCCTCAGTGCGAGTTACAGGAGGACACAGTCCCTGGTACTTTAATCTGTAATCGACAATAATCATTCAGTTTAATTACATTTATCAAACATTTACACATTATACCACCTGACTCTAAAGTCTATGTTGTTGGTGAACTTTACCTCAGGTTCCACCACTCTTTATTGTACTCGGTGTGTGGAATGCGTCCATCAAAAACCTTCCACCTCCACTGATCCATCAGGAAGCCAAAAGGCAGGAAAGCAATCTTGTCGAGGGCCATGCTCATCAAAAAGTTGATATCGCTTTCTATACGAAAGCCAGAAATGAGGAAAATATTGAGTGATTGTCCATTAGAATCTCATATCTTTTTCTTTTTCTCTATTTTTTTATAAAACTCTGTGATTCTTATTCACCATAGTTGCTCTCAACTTTGTCCAGGAGGCCGATGCTCTGCAGATGTTTTGGCGTGGACACCGACAGGGCAAGAACGTCACCAATGGCTTCGTGGAAGCCTGGGTTGGCTCCGTCTCGGAAGGACACCGGTCGGTTTTTGTACTGCAAGAAGTACTGAACGTGGCCCATCTCATGGTGCACCGTGATCAGGTCATCCATGGTCACCACTGTGCACTGTTTTATCCTGGACACACAAGCAAAGGCTGAATTACAGTTACTACTATAGGAAGACTGCATTTTACATTAACTGGACAACTGAAAATAAATGATGTTCAGACTGGGAATGGTTAATAATTAGTACCAAAGGCCTTCGATTAAATCTGTGTAATGTTAGAATCTTCTCGTCCCAGACATGGCATACTGTACATTCTGTAGGTAACAGCTGAGCTAGAGGTCCAGTAAAAATGCAATGAAGTTCAACCTGAAGTCTTTCCGGTTATAGAAGTCCCACGCAGAAGCATGACACACAACCTGCCGTCCATCACTCGGCTTCACCAGCATGGATTTGTCCCAAAACTCTTTGGGCATTGACAGCAGACCCAGAGAAGTGAAAAATCTATCGGACTCTTGAAACATCCTGGTAGCATTCCAACCCTGGAAGAAAACATGCATTTATGTTGACAGTTTTGCTAGAATTTTGATGCAGATCTCCAAGGGTATAACATACTTGTTTGTTGTGCACACTGTAACACAATAATTTGTTCACATTATGCATTTGTTTTGTTTGAAATGAGAAAGAAATGTGAAATGAACATTGTTTAAGGTGTAATTACAACTCATGCCACAAGTTGGTGTATGATTCTGAGAGTCATGTTGGAGATGTCAACAGCTCAGCTCTGCAATATAGCAGCTAGGCAAAGGGAAAGCATTCCAGCGGCCTGTCTCGTCATTTTCTCTGTATTTTCACAGGTATGGAGGTAAATTTGTGTTTTTATTATTCAATCAAACAAAAAGCATCTTCAATCAAAAAAAATAATTTCAAACAAAAAAAA